GTCATAGAGCTTTTGAAAGATAGCAAGTGGGAGTCAGTTTTTGAGAGTCAACCAAGAGTTACTAGCGCTTAGAATAAATTTTAGTTTAGAATAAATAATTTTTATATTTACACATCACTGCTTATTCTGTTACCTACCCAATATTCCTACAAATATACTATCAAAAATTGCAGCAATTTAAAATTGTCTCTCTCTACAGGGTATAAAATTCTATATATCTTATAAGAAATCTGTCACTGCGAATTTCTAAATTAAAAATAATCCCACGTTTATCATCCATAGATCTAGTACCAGGTAATGGTAAATTCCTGGCGAGACAGGAGAAACGATCGGGAGAAATTCGCGACCGGAAGACACTTTGGTTGCGGGCAAAGCAGAAAATCCGGAAGGAGGAAGCGTTTTCGTGGCGACCGGGTAGAAAGGTGGGCGAAGAAACCGAGGCCCACGCGATCCAGTGGATTTACCTGGCAATTCGATAACGTCCGACTCGCTTTCGTTGTTACCGTTTGATTGATCGTGGTCGCTACTCGATGATCCACGGCGAGGCACCGTTTACGATTTGTACGCGTCACGACGCTTTCTACGATTCGCAATAGCGCCGGCTAATGCATGCCTGGCTGCGAGCTTCAGCGTGAAATCCGACGGAATCCTCTGATTAATCAAACTTTTTACGCGTCGTGATCTAAATCCAAGCAGAGTCCAATGATACACGCGACTTGCGCCATCGAGATCGATACGTTCGCCACGGAGAGTTTCAAAATTTTTTCGCAACACCCCGTCGACCACCGTCTCGAGTTTGCGTAGCGGATGATCGGGATTCCAAGCAACGAGATTCGCCGGATAATCCTTGGATAATTGCTCCGAGTTCCTTGGACTCTGTTCTCGTCTGCACCGTGAAAATGCTACTTTTCATTACTCGCGCGACTGTTTGTCGTTCGATCGTGATCTATTTGGCGTTGCACGAGATGTGATTAATGGATCGATGGATTTTCATGATCGACTCGTGATTGAGAATTTATGACCATCGATTTAACGCCTCCTTAACCTATCAGCAGCTACACGTAGCGTGGATGTAGCAGAGGATGTAAGAGATTCATAGATCCTTGGAAAGTTACGTTTTCGTGATTATTTTGAGATATACGTTCGTGTAAAGATAAGGCGAGATTGATGGACACTTTAATTATACCACGGATTTGAAGTGTTTAATTGGATATGGTAATCAGTAAATTCGAATCACGCGGAACTGGTAGCATGGCGGCAAGTAATTGCGAGGTGTTCGGGATTGCTACTAAATTCTTATTTCAGCAACTTCCGTGAACTATACCTCAATTTCGTATGCGAGAAATATCGAGTTTAGGCTGATTGTGAGTTTAGGTAAGATAAATGGCTCGAGGTTGGATTAACTCTTTGCGGCTCAGGATTTCAGATTGTAAGATAGACCCATGTTGCATGGAAATTTTATTGCGCTTTAAATGGAACAAAATTGGTATATTTTTACTAATAAGGGAATCACATAATGTGAAAACATAAAATAATAATAATAATTTAATTGAACTTATCGTTATATGGTGGGACTCAACTAATATATTCGGTCCCACCGTTCCATGATGAATGTTGCCAACACAAGCGAATACATTTATAACATTTGTCGAATGTATTACCAACTGCTTTACGTAAATAAAACGAAATATTATATAAATCTATGCACATGCAGCTATTGCAATATTTCGAGGTGAAACTCAAAATGTTTCACTATGCAATAATGTGCATCAAAAAGTGGGACACTTTTAATCCCAGCGTGCCCCAAAGAGTTAAAACGTTAAACGCGAAACAAAAAATGATCCAAAACTTAAAATTATGTTATAAATTTTGGATTCATTTTATACCTGTTTTTTGCTCAACCGAGTTAACACGATTCAACCTTCTGTCCCTATTATAATTAGCTCCAGATGTCAGTCCTTCAAGCTGAAATGCTAAATACTAATTATGATAATTAATTCGTTAAAAAATAAGGCGGAAGGTAAACTCGAAATTTTCCACGGTGAATATTCTCCTCGTTGTTCTCGGTATCGTTTGACAATCAAACATTGCCAAAGCACGTAATCGCGAAGTTGGATGACGTAGACGCGTCATACCACTGTGGACGACAGCGGGTTAATTACCTCTGGATGGTCGTAAATCGTCGATCCCGGGCGATTTGCATTTATCGTCGAACAATTTGACTCAATTACGTAATCAATTACAATGTTTCGTCCGCTGTTCAAATTCTCACGACTTTCATAACCTTACGCAATGAAGCTTCAGCGCGGTACGCGCGTCTCTTATGTAACGAAAATCGAATGTCCTTTTGGCATCTCACAATTCGCTCGTAAAAGGACTTTTACGCCTCTCGATCTTGCATATCTTTCGTCCTGAAGGCCTTCTCTTCTCTGATTACATTTACATTACATTTCACTGCTCGGAGAACGTACCATCCCATACTTCGTTTCGTCTCTACCGGTGATCGATACCTCGAAACACCAAACTCTCATCGACCCATTCTTTCCC